TCTTGTCCTGCAAGGGCCCCACATTTCCTGGGGCCTTCTTTCTTCTCCCTATGTACTTAAAAAAGGACTTCTTGTTGTCCTTAATCCGGGAAGCCAGCCCCTGTTCCATCTCTGCCTTGGCCTTCCTAACCATCCCCCTACATCCCCGAGCAACTGCTGAATAGTCCTCCTTAGTGATGACCCCTCCTTTCCATTGGGAGTAAGCCTCCTTTTTGGCAAGGAGACATTCCTGGATGTTTTTAGTGAGCCATGGAGGCTTATATGCTCTCCTGCCCTGGACTTTCTGAACATCTGAGATTGTGTGCCCATCACTAAGAAGATGTGGAGTTCTTAACCTAGCTGTTCCAAAACAAATGGCCAATGTGGCTGTAGCAAGTGAATAATATGGCCGTTGATTCTGGAACAAGAAATCCTCTGTTTGGAATCATTTGCCTTTGCATACTCATTATATTATCTCCAGCCTTCTTGGACATTCATAGGATCTCTATTTCTCTAAGAGGGATTCTTTTCTCGGCTCTGCATTTCTGCAGCATGGTCATTTCTGTAAAAACTTCTGTCCATTCTTTCCTTTTTTAAAGTAAAACACTTCCCAGACTTATAAGAAAAAAATGACAAGAAAAGCAATAAAATATTAGAGTTGCAATAGTACTTCAGTGTATTTGTATGGGCATGTGTATTTGAATTTACTTTCCAGCATCAAACAGGGTACATGATATCTCTTTGTGTCAGGAAGATAATAAGATGATAGAGGTGAAAAACCTTGTAGTCTCTAATCCAATTTGGAACAAAGTTCTTTTCAGTGCGATAAAATGGTGCCATATTGAGTATAAATTTTTGTAAGTCCTTTTTTGCATTGTGAGTACATCCAAGTTAGTTAGCATACCCCAGCAGTGTTGCCAGTTCTTGCAATCTTACTGTAGGTTTCATTGTATTTAGTGTTTTCCTTAAGGCCTTATTTAATAGACTCTCTGCTTTTGGTATAATAATAGTAAGTTTCTAGGCTTCATGGTCATGGAAGAATGGTTGAAAACATGAATCCTAAACACAATGAGGAGACAAATAAAAAGAACACACAGTTTATTGGATGAAATCTTGGCTCAGTTGAAGTCAATTCTGAATTTTTGGTTGACTTTTAATAAGGCTAGGATTTCACTCATTCTTAACGTTGTGATTTCAAAGACAATCTCATGATTTTAAAAGTCATGGAGTTCAATAGTGTCAAATGGGATGCCATTTGATTGTATACTAGTTACTACAAATTTTGTATTGTGTACTGTTAAGACCATATGTTGGTAGAATCACTTTTTATGCCTGCCTCCATAGATAGCAGAATTTCTATTGATTTCACAGGGTACAGTCCCAGGAAACCAAAATAGCAGGTGTTTCCTGTGTTTACTGTGTGCTTGGCTGAGGTAGTACTTGTGATGGAAAAAGTAGGATTTTTCCCCTAGTGTTTCCTGAGTTGATGCACAGAACTGAATGATTGGCAAAAGCAATGCAGAGCTAAGTAAAATCTTTTAAAACTATTTGCTTTTTCAGGACCCATTCACTGTGTGAGGACACATGTTCAGAATTGCAGAGAGTCATTTCCGTGGAGACAAGAGGCCCGTCAGAATCACGGAGGGGCTCGTTCACAGGCAGGGGAGCAATGGCCAGGTGACTAACTAACCAGTCTCATTTCCAATATTAAGGATAACATGCTTTCAAGAAATTACTGAATATTGCAAGCAAGGGAAAGAAGTTCATCATTTCTGCAAGAAAATGAGTTCAGTCCATCTGAAATGGAGAGGCCCGCAAGAAACCTTAAATGAAACAAAGGTGCTTTGACCTTGATTCTGTACTCATCTGTACTCAGTCAAATTGGAATAAAATCTCTAATGTGCAAGAGCTGGTGATGATGGGGCTCCAGCAGGCTCATCCAAGGAGGAGAAAGGGATTCATCTTGAGATCATCAGCACTGAAAAGAAATTGAATACCAGAGAAAAAGATGAAATGAGGTCAGGCAGTAAGTGCAGGGATAAATAGAAGTTTTTCTCTAGGTTGTTAACTGGTTATAATAGAGTCTGTTGAACACAAAGTGAGGAGTTATTCCCTCTCAGCCTTAATAGCGGTAGATCTTGCACTGGGAATGCAGGGTCTACTGGGTATTTTTAGGATTAAGGTATATATGTGACTCACTTGGAGCCACAGTTAAGAAAGGCTGTCGATTCTGGCTCTGACTCAAATTCAGAAAAGCATCTCAGAACAGCTTCAAGCAAATCCCTGAGATTAAGCATGCTTAAGTGTCACTTACTTAGAGGGGACTTAACAACATGCCTGAAGCTGAACATGTGCTTAAGTGCTTTCTGAATCAAGACCTCTGGGTGTGATTTAGAGAATTTCAGCTGGGGATACAACACTGTATTTGTTTTATGATATAGTTATTAAATATATTAATGATTAAACATCATTTATTTTTAAAAAGACTGATAACATTCAGGAATGTTGATGTAATTTTTAAAATAAAATTTATTTTTCACTATTTTTCATCTTGGACAAGACGATGAACAAAATGATCATTTTCCTTTGTGCTTTTAGTTAGTTTTTTATTTGGGTTCTCATGCAGTAGCAGGCTGTTTGCAATGTATGAAAGCAAATGGCTTGTAGTGGAATGAAAAAAAAATGTACTGGGAATTTCTTTAAGTTTTTAAAACCTGTTCATGTCCTGAACTGATATGATAACATCCTGTTTCAATATTCTAAATTCTAACTAAGGAGAGAACACCCAAATAATCCTTTCATTATATTTGCAAACTGCAAACTGAATTCTGCCCAGACAGGCAGGAAGACACTGGGGTTTAATTTCCTATTTGAAGGGCGCTTGTACACATGATGATGTCACAATGTACACATGATGAAAATTTCCCTTCGTGTGGCTTAATGGCATCACCCATTACACATGTGGGAGTTTTGGGGGTTTTAAATGAGTTTGCATTGTTGCAAACGAAATTAAATCCTAATGTAATTTAGTTTTCAGTTTTGCAACTTTGAACGTTTCAGCCATTAGTCAGCTTGGCCCCCACATGTGGGAGAGGTGGGCAGGCTCTGCAGAAAGGAAGGATTGGGTTCCTCGCTGATTCTGCTTTCAGCAGGCTCCTGCGGCTGGCAAGACACCTGGGGCCACCCAGGAATGGGCTGGCTTGCCCCATGGGCAGCATGGTGAGGTGGCAGGAGGGTGGCTGGATGTGCTGGCAGCTGGAGAAAGAGGTTGATAGGCTGGAGAGGTGAGCTGATAATTAATGGCACAGATTAATGGCCCCCTGGCCATGGGAGAGATGGGCAAGCTCTGCCAGAACAAAAAAAAAAATGGATCAGGCCCTTCACTGCTTTTGTCTTCAGCAGGCACCTGTGGCCTCCAGGACAATAACATATATACAGTGATGGAAAAATCAAATCCACCATTTCAGTTAAACTCACTGTTTCAATTTAGGGGGCACAGAATGCAACCCTAAGGACTAAAACCCCGTCATATGTACAAGTGCCCTTTTTGTCAGTATGGTAAGGCTTGTATCAATTAATCCATGACCTTAGAGAGCCTAGTGAGGAGGATGGCTGTTTTTTTGTAGTGTTGCAATTACTTTCAGTCTTTTAAAACATGGAGGTCTTAGATTATTCATGCAATCCTGACCCCATGGGGAAACAAAAATATAAGATACCCTTCTCTGATTTCTTTCACTCCACATATTACTTCCTTTTTTATTATCGTTTACATCTTAGAGGTAAGAGATTCTGAGGGAGTCTGTCACAAGCTATTTCCTTGAGAATCTGTAATCAAGTGGCAGATATTCCATACAACAGCACTGTAAATTGCTTAAGCACTAGTGTTTTCATCATGGTTATCCTTATGCCAACTGAGCAGATGTAGTGCTAGTTTCCTCTGGGGAAGTCTAAAGAACTTTTCTTGAATATTACAAAGCCTATCAAGGAAGAGATGCTCTGTTCAGCATTTTATTATGCTGTTTGCTCAAGGCAAGTCTGTGTGGCATGCAAATGTACCACCACTGTCCAGATGGAGGTACCATTAGAACACAATACAGAATATTGTTAGATAGACTCTAACCACTGTTAGGCAATTTGACCGCTAGTATTGTTACTTGGATGCATTTCAGAAACAGAGTTCGCTTTTCTGCTTTACCAAGAATAATTATTATCCCTGAAGAGCACCTAGCTCAGGGCGGGAAGAACATAAAGAGAAACATTAAAATACAGCAGTGATAAAACTGTTTTTCTGGTGTTGTGACATTTTTTATTTACTTTATTCTAGTGCTCCATTAGGGTTTAGGACGAGGGATTGTAGTTTATATGCAACAGTCAATTACTGGCTCATAGCAAGGGCCAGTTCTATTATCAGTATTAGTCATTATAATCTATGTACTATGCACTAAACAACTTAGGGAACATGAAGGGAGACACATTGTTTGTGCTGATGAATTTACAGTCAGATAGTAGATGTGACAGAACAAATGAGTCCTCTAAATGGTAGGGGGTGAATATAGAGCCACGGATCTAGACCCATGAATCTATAGCCATGAGGGTCACAAAATAAGTTTGCACAGTTGTTGGCGAAATTCAGCCATAACCCATCCCAGCAACATCTATTGAAGGGGAAGTGCTCTCTTGCCTGGAATTCCCACCACCCATCATTTTACAATCCAGCTCTTCCACAGCCCGTTCTCTTTCATCATCAGGGCATCTTTTGGGTTCATTTTACATGACTACATTTGAGTTCATGATCTCTCATCACAGGAACCCTCACCACACCAAGGTTCCTCCTTATGTCAGAAACTCCTAGCTCTGAAGGCAGATTTAAGTTCTCTCTCTCTTGGCAGCCTGCTTGTTGATTGGCAGTTGCTCTCTGGCTCCCATGCCATACTGGTTGGAGTTGGAGTTCACTAGGTCATGGTAAGAGAAGAGACCTCCTGATCCCTCTACTTTATGGGTCACAACCTTTTAAAGTGGGAGGCTGCCACTTGCAACCTAACCACTATTATAGGCTGTTAATTCTAGTAATGTGATGGGCATCCTGACACTATGAAAACCTTAGCTGGCAATTTGATGCAGCTGTTCTAGCATCTAGTGGTAGCTGTTCTATTCTTGATGTTCCATCTGACATTTTCATCTTGTTCAGAAAGTTTTGCACATACGTTCTTTGCAGGGTGTCTCAGTTCATGATATCTCTGAGATCATGGGCCACAAGGCATTTGCATCATGAAGACCAAAGGCCGGATTCTTTCCTTGAACGTATTCGAGGGCCAGACCTCAAAGAAGTGTCCAGCAGGGAAAGCAACGTTCACTCCAATTTGGGAAACCCTGAGCAGCCAGCTGGACGGAAACGGTAAGATGATATGATTGTATTTTTCTGGGAGAAAAGGGAACTTGGGGTAATTGCCATTTTCTTTGTTTGGAGTATGAAAAGCCTGGGCTTTATTGGAAGATAGAAGATGAGTAGGGTAGCTATTGCTCTTCAGAAACTTTCATGTAAATAAAATCTTTCAACTTCAGGAGAACTGAAGAAAGCATGGAGATTTCTTAATTGTACAAAAGTTACCATTTCCAGTTACAAGAGACCTTGAGAGAATGCATCTTAGGACAAAAACAAATATAGTTCTTACTGAATTGTTTACCCAGGGATTATTATGCTAGGGATTTCATGCATGACTTTCTGTAGGTTACCATTGCTTTGACAGACTTCCTTGGCTAAGCAGCAGAGGGAGGACATGGTGCAATTTAAAAACTCTCTAGGGTTTGTCCTCACTGAGGGAGGCACAAGTCCTACTTTGTAAGCAGTTTTCAGAAGTAGAAACCAAATGCTACATTTCTCTGGCAGTTGGAACAACAAAGAAACTTTTACAAAAGGGTGCCACATGCAGACAAGGTTGTTAATTCGCCTATGGCTGATGATTTCCCACTACTTTTGTCTGGAGTCATTACTAGCCAATGTGCATTCACAATTTAGAAGTGCTCAGGTAAGAATAAATCCAGTGCTTGAATGGAGGCAATGTGCTTTACCAAACCATTGGTATACCGGGTTTTCTCTCCCTTCCCCAAGCAGGGTTGGGGTATAAATATTTAGGCTATCCAATCCTGAGGAAGCATGGAAAAAAGGCAATAGCATGACTATCACTTGAATGATGATACTGAATCCTATTTCATTTTGAATGGTTCCTTCTCCCCCCTCAAAGTACCTGGGCAAGGATTTTGGAAGGGAGGCCTTTGGTTTATGATATTTCTGGTGTAAATGTTGTTCAGACCTTGAACTTTGTTCTCCACTACTTAGGAGGAAAATAATTCTCAAGGGCCACATTGGTCTATGGCCAGCTTATCTGCTCTTGCCGTACTACTTGAAAGCAGTTCCTGATGCAAGCATTTAAGTGTTGTGTGATTCTCAGAGTGACTTCCCAAGACATTCAAGTACCTGGAAGTTCCACAATAAACATTCCTACAAAATTCATTAGCACTTAATTCTACCTACTAGGATTTCAACCACTGACATCATAAATAGGTCCTGGTCTAGAATCAGAAAAATTCTTGACTGCTGACCTGAATTATTAGAAAATGTTCACTCTTTAGCATCATGAGCAAGTTGAGTCTTGTCTTAAACCTGTTTGATTAATTAAAGTAATCAGGGCCTTCAGGAGAACACATCATACATTTCCAGTGGTATTCCACTTTGCCAATGAGCAAAAAATCATGGCATAGGAGTTTAAAGTAACTCAGCATAAAGAATATCCTTAGAATTTGTTCCTTTCCTTTTGACAAAATACTTAGCAGAATTCACAAATTTGTTAGATTTGACAGGACCTTGCCATAAGCATTTCTGCTGTGGTCTCCAACTTGCTGCCACTGGGCTGTTAACCGTGTGCCTTAGCACCCGCACCACCCTGGCTTTGTTTGTTGAAACACAGAGACAAAAATTGACTTTTTAGAGGGCATGTTAGTCTGAAGTGCAGGATCCTTACCCATTTTTGTGGTTACCAAAAGTTGAGCAAGGAGGTGAATTATCAACAAATTTCGTTTGTGCTCTTGTCTGATAATTCAGATCACACTAATTTACAACAGATTTTGCCTCTTCGGTGAACTTACTTTTTATGAGTTTAGTTAGGAACCAATGTATTTCTTTTGCACACCCAGTATATTTGTCAAGGTACACTGCTGCCCGTGTTTTCATATTGACCACCAAATGTTAGACTCCTGACCCAGACATCAGAAAGACAAAAAGTGATTCCGATTCAAAGGTAGTATATCAGGGTCGCATAGTTAAGGTATACCAGTAACATGTGCTTGTGGAGTGATGTAGCACAACCAGCTGCTTCTGACTTCTGTGTATCCATTTCCAGCGGAGTAAACTGAGAGTAGCCTTTGGCATAAGTCCAGAGCAGAGTTTGAACTCACACCTCAGGGGCTGTGTCCAGACAAGCATGGCCGTATGGTATGTGGTGCTGCAAACACATCTGGGGTGCCACATGCTGCACATCTAGATGTTTGCTGTGATGTAAGGGTGTGCTGCCTGTGCGTGTGCTGTTCTGCTTTTTTTGCCCATGGAAAAAAAGGTGGAGCAGCATATGCACAGGCAGGGTGCATTGCTCAAAAGTGGAGCTGGGCCATCCAGAGCTATACTTCAATTGCCGGCCAGGCTCTACATGGCAGAATCATTGCTGCTGCATCCCCAGGACCTCAGGTAAAGCTGCTGTGGCCAGCCCAGTGCTGGCCTCTGCCTCTCTTACCCCACCTGGGGTAACATGCTGCATGCCAAAGCTCATGTGGCATGGGCATTCCCTGGGGACAAGTAACTGTGGCCCAAGGTGCACCGCCGCTGCTTGTCCCTGGGGAACCAAATGTCCACATTCATCTGGATGCACCCAGGAAGTGCAATGAGACACCTTAACCACTTAACCAGTTTGTCAGCATACCCTTAAAGCTGTGTGAGTGGACAAGGTTGTCCCCATACTAACATTCACTTATATATTAATACAAGAAAGCCTGATTCTGCTCCACTATAGCAGCTCCCAATCATAGTGAGGCTATGAAGCATTAAACTGTCAATAAGCATTCCTGCTAATCTGTCCCTCAGTTTTGGTGTTGCTTCTTTGAATAAGACTTGAAAGCCTTGAGAACAACTTATAATAGCAGCCAAGAGGGCGAACTGCTATAAATAGGGGCATCCATGCTGTCAAGCATTAGTGTGCCTGAGAGTAGACTAAAGTGCTTCAGACATTTGACATGGTCACAAACGTGTACGTTCAGCATGTGATTAAGGGGAACTGGTGTCCTGAATAGTTGTGTAAAGGGGCTTACTGATGCAGCCCTCCTAATCTTTTCAGAGTATGTGATGGACTAGTTATTCAATCTATTCAATAAGCACATGCACAAAAAATCTATGGCTTTTGTACTCTCCCTTTGCTGTGTTTTATTTAACATGCTGCAGTCACTGGTCCTTGGCCAGATATAATGTCAACTACAGCAACAACACCAATGAAGAGTAAGTACATCACTGCTTACTTAGTGCAACTTACCTCATTCTGATGCAGTAGCTCCTTATCTTCTTCCCTGTCTGTGCTAGTGACAACTGTAGTTATACAATCCTGCTTACCTCTTCCCATGCATCTTCCTGATATGTAGCTTAATAGTAAAGAAAGATCTGGTGTTGTAGAAAGGAGAAACATCCTTGTGTCTTCAATAAATTCTTATTGTCCTAAACCAAAGGGCAACTTCTCTCATTCTTCCACGGGTCAATTTGGGTGAATCACTGCCTAGTTCTCAATTTCTCATGTTCAGCTGGCTGATTTTGTAGCATCGATAATGGATTTTCATACTGAAATTGATATAAGAAATGTGTTTATATTCATTTTAAAGTATGATCCTTTTTCTTAACAGGTATTTTCATGTTAGATGTTTAGCTTGTCATCTATACTTACAAGGTGATTTTGAGCAAATTTGACAGAAATGCTAGCACTGCTTATTGTAACTCAAGGCTGGATGCCTTTCTAAATTACATACTTTGGCTCATTTACGAATTGTTGAGCTAGATGAAGCAATTATTATGTGAAATGATATGACCTGCATCATACAGGAGATCTGTCAGAAATGGTCATACCAGGATCTTCTGATCTTGAAATCTACAGAAGTGGCAGTGAATTAGAGCATTTAAAGTTTCTGGGACTTCTTCCAAGTAACATCTTGAAAATGTAAAGAACTCTAGTCACTTGAAATCACTCCACACTAATCCTGACTCTTGCTCTCCACTTCTGGGAAAGCTACATCTGAACAGCAGAAGGAAGCTGCTGATTTGTTTCCACCACAATGGTGGTCCAAGTCTTTCATTTCTCTCCTGGTAAAAAATTATGAGAACCAAAAATAATTTTTTGATCTTTTCAAACTATTTTGGAAACATCCAAAAGTTTTCCCCCAAACAATTAATGGATGAGAAACTCACTGTGTATTTAAAATGACAGTCCAATAGAAACATGTTTCCACTTCAGAGAAAGGGAAATGCTGGAATTTGAATGATGCAGTCAGTAATTCAGATAAAATATCTTTATTAAATCCAAAGGCCAATAGCAGTCGAACTGTCAATTTGGATGCATTCTCTAAAATACTTTAGTAAAATGCTAACAATACATTAGATAGCAACGTTACAATATGTATTAATGACTGCACCACACAGTGATTATAGCTTCAAGCATTTAATCAGAATACTTACAACTGGGCTGGTGAGGGAGAGTCCAGCTGTCCCATGTTGGCTGGCTCCAGCAGATGAACTTACACTAGCAAATAATTCATCTTCCCTGCCTCTCTTATTCCCCTAGATTTCTCATTTCATCACCATCCTCTGGGTTATAAAAGCTGGTCAGAACTTGTCCAAACTTCCATACAGACTTATCTGGTCATTCCCAATACACAAAACTTTCTTACTTTCTTTATACATTCTTGGTGGGTCTCCCTCGACCTCCTGAAGTCCACCTCCTTGAAATCTCTTAGGCCTACCAATCTCTTTCCTGTTGTCCACCCGACTTTACTCCTACATTAGCCCACCTATGGCTCATCACACTTTATCCTGCATTTTGACACTGTGTGTGTGTGTGTGTTGTGCATGCCTGTGTGAGTGTGTACATTTGTGTCTTTCAAATCACAGACTTGTGAAATTGTCATGCTTGCACCCATTATGATAGAACATCCCAATGCCTGTTGCATAATTACAATATATTTCATAATCCCTACAGGAAAGAATTTCTGATCTCTCTTGAATTGATGTTATAGATATTCTGTGTTTGTGACTCCTACTGTTGTAAAAATAAATGCACTACTACACGGCTGAAAACAGACAATATTTTAGGCTAGCCCCATAGAAAAACAGAGCAAAAAGACTGAAGCATGATTTCCAGTTCAGGTGGAAAGACTGAGAGATAGCATCTCCAGAGTTTTATCCTATTTCTGACAATGGCTCAGGCTGTGGATTTTAGCAAGTCATTCAGCCTCTTGGTGCTTTAGTTTTTCAAAATGGAGACAGCTGGTATTGTGAAGATTAGCTTGCTGATTTGTAAAGCAGTTAAAAGGTAAGGAATGCCATATAAAGTCTATGTGTCTTTACAATTCTGCAGTCATATTTTACAGTGGTAGAGGCAGACAGGTCTTGTTCAGCCCAAGGGGACATCTTCTGCAGGAGAAACTGAATATCACATATCCATTTTTTTTATAATCAAAGAAACAAACAGACACATTTTTTCAAGTGATGATCTGAATGCTGTTATTCAACAAAGCCAGCGAGGAAATAAGCTGCAGGTATCGTTAGTTATACATATAGAAGGAACTTTATCCAGTGCTGAAACAATAGGAATCAGTCCTTCAAGTCTTTGCCTGGAGGTGCTGCATTTGGTCTCAGGATTGAGGGGGGCTATGACCACCTTTTCTCTGAGTGTTCCCCATTGGTCAGTCTTCAGGACCGTGATAATATTGTTATAATGGGGAGAGGAACAGAGCAGTGTCAGGAATAAATAAATAAATGGAAAATTCTTGCCCGCGCTGCAAACCTGGAGTGAATGGAGAAGGTCAGTAGCAAATCCTAGTGCCAAAGAAAATGAAACCCACCATCAGATGCTGAGTGGAATTTTTGTCTTGTCAATTTAAAACAGAAATAGCTTTTACTAGAAAGGTAGAGTTGTCAAAACACCCTGTCCATGGTTCAGTGGTGTTGAAGCATTTTGATTGCTTAACCACGTCAAATGCATCTTCCCTGCGTAATCAGGCTCATGTGCGTACAGAGCACTGCTGTTTTAAAAAAAGACACATTTTTCCATAGTTCTGCAACCACCCTGGGGAGCCCAACATTTTGAGTATCATGAAGCAGTCCTTTAATGCTAACAGTGGTTGTGAATTGGTTTCACAGCATGCACTGAGTGTAGTGACTTGCTGTCAGAGTAGGTAATATGACATTTTAGAGTGTTTCTAAACAGCGTGGAGCTTTGTGGGAATGGCAGATTTGAATTTAAAATGCAATCAAAGGGGTCCAGGACGCTAATAGCAGAGAAAATACATTTGTGAATAGCATCCTCTATAATTGCGTGGAAGCCAGCGTTGGTAAGGGAAACAGTGTGAAAAATCTTGTTTAATTGACTTGATATGTCAATAGGAATTGATGAGCTCAGTCAGTCAGCACATTTTTGCTCTTCTAATTGTGGTCCCAGGCTAGTAGGATTTTTCCTAGTCCTTACTGCAGTTCCACTGATTGAGTTGAGGAAACTCAAGTCTAGTTTGGTCAATGTTTCAGTAACCCTGCAGAGAACGCACACAGGAATGGCTTTAGGATCCTGCCTTCTCCCTGTGAGTAAAGTTGGGTTTGTTCCAGACTACGCTGTATTGCTGCATCACGACTAATTGCCATAATGGCCATAGCAGAAGCGCTTATGTTGCGGCCCTATCAGATTGTAACAAATCTGTGAATTCTCCTAAATACCTGTCATCAACCACCTCAGACAGGGCACAAGAAGAAGAACAACAACAGCAACAACTGACAGTGGGAGAAGTGCAGCATCAAGCCTTGTGTTTCTTTTCAGTAGGAAATAGGTACCTTCAGGCAACTGCATTCATTTTAAAAGTGGTGAAAACATTTTCCACGCTGTCCTCCTCCCCCTTAAAGTGCTCCCTCCCTAAAATGAGCAAGCACATCTGAGCCCATGGCACTTCTCCATGATGTGCCTGCTGGCTCAGCTTCCATAAGCAAGTGTCTTCTACATGTCTGTTGGGGCTGATTCTGCTCCTGTGTACTCCAGCTGGTGTGTTTGCATTCACTGGAACTGATTTGCTTCCAATTTACACTGCTGCAAAAGGAGAATCAGACCTACCTAACCCATGCAGTTCTGAGTGGAGCAGACAACAACCATGTAAAGAAATGCTGTGCCTGTTATTCAAACTACAGCTGGCAGGTAGAGCTTTAGATCTGTGAGCGAGTGAATCACTTGCATTCAAGTGTCAGGGATATTCATGATCTCAACTGGAGGATGGAGACACTGCCTCCTTCGGGGGAAAAAAACTCTTGAAAAAATTGTACATAAAGATTCAAGGCCAGATTCTCTTCTGGTGTGAATGCAGATAGTTCCATTCATTTATATGCGCTATGACCATTAACCCTAGCAGGGAATTTGACCCTACATTTTAACAAGGGCTAATTTCTAAGCAAAAAAAAAAAGAATCACTGCTACTCAAAAAATTTCTAAACTTACGTGGGGAGTTGAAGCAAATCACCCTGAATTTAAAAACAAATCACTTAAATTTAATAGAAAATGAGATCCACATGCACATCAGAGGCTGCTTTTTCTGTACAGGGCTGAATAACAGCTCTAGGAAACTGAGCTCTGGGAAAGTGTATATGTGGATCTTAATTTTGAAGTTTGGTTCTGTTGCTGATCTTTGACACACTGGAATGTAGGAAATGCAAAAAGGTGATGGGCAAAAAGAGTCAGCTGAGGTTGAATGTCACATATTTATTTACTTATTAATACAATTTATAGAATAGTTAATAAATATGGGAGAAAATCCTGAGCCTATTGAAGTCAATGCCAGAACTCATGTTAATTTCAGTTGGGGAGTAGGGGTCACCTGCAATGTTCAGATTCTGAATAAACCTACAGTGCCGAATATAGAGTACAAGTTTGTTCCACGTTTTTGGCCTACTTTGTTTAAATGTGTTGTCTCTGATTCTCCTCATCCACTGGTATAAATCAGGAGTAACTTAAATGAAGCTAGTTTAGTGTAGAACAAGTATGAGAGGATACTCAGATTCTTTATTAGCACTACAGCGTCAAACAGGCTGTTTAGAGCTTGGATATATACAAGGCCAAGAAAATTATAGGACTTTCAAGCCACTGCAAGTACTAATGCCATGAAACAGATTTTTGATTGCCTGAATTTTGAAGTATGGAGCACACTGGAATGTTTAATTCAAACAGGCCTTTTATACAGACTTGCTAGTAGGTTGCTGAAGCAAGGAGGAATCTTGCACAGAATCAGCCAGCTGGTTACATGATTTAATAATGTGTTTCTGTTCATTCGGCAGCCTAGAACCTGTAACACATGCCCTAGTTAAACCAAATGAGGGAATGGTTCACTTGAGAAGCCCTGGTTGATCAAGACAAAAATCCCAGGCCACTAGCTTCTTAATCCCCACCTCAGATTTCATATATTGGCCCAGCTGGGGAACTGCAAATGTTGCTAAATATTACACTGTGTTACACAGCAAGAAGGAAGATGATAAAGATGTTAAGGAGGAGAAGAAAGAGGAAAAGAAGGAGGAAAAGAAAGATGACAAAAAAGATGATAAGAAAAAAGAAGAGTAAGTATGAATAGTGTGTAGTGATAAACTACACCCCTCCCCGCCACTGCAGAACACCAGCCTCAGAAAGAAAGGGGATATTTGATTAACTGAACTGACTGTTTAAGCGCTCGTCTTTTTTACCAGGTTCTTTCAGTACAGCTATCTTCTTTGCAGGTCGGTGCAGGCTTGGTCATAGCAGGATTCAGGGCAGAAGAATCAGGATCTTTATTAGGCAAAACCCCAAATCATTATATTTGGGCAAATATAGACCAGTTAAATGTCTGGAGTTTTTCAGTATTTACACTGGGATGAGCAGGATCAACCATATTCACCTCACCATAGTTGTGACATGAAGCACACAATGCAGTGCATTTGGTCCTCAAAGTTGAGTAAGGAGATGATTGCTCCTAGCTGAATAGCTTATAAAACCTGCATCCATTAGAGTCTACTTCAATTCAATGCCTTGTAAAAAAGAATGACACCAAGCACCATGAGGTCCTGGTCTGTAGTAGGAGGAATCTTAGGCACTAAATAATGTAAATGGTAAATAACAACAGCAAGAGGTGTAAAGAAATGAGTGTCATGAGTGAACACAATGTGTAAGAGTTGTATGATGATTAGTGCCTAACAAATGTGTGTAAAGCATGTGGCAGGTGCTATTTAGATGTAGCATCTCTAGTAAAAACTCTGTTTTTAGATGGATTCTGCCCAATCCTGGCATATAATCTTTTTTCTTATTCAAAGCTTTATGTGATTTGAAAGTGTTTGTTCTGGAGGAATGCAAAACTCCAGAACTCTTGGTTCAGAGATGATACCTGTTATTAGACCAACTACAAAATCGCAAGAAAAATATCTTTTTCTGCAAGCTTTTGGCATCCTTCCTCAGGCTCAGGGAAAATTAAAGATGGTAAAAAGTCCCCATAAGTAGGAAATAAACTTCATTTTTCACAGAGGAAACTGAAGGTGGATGTCTGTTCCTCTGGGTTCCTCTGTGCTGGAGGATGCTCTTTCAGCCTCAAGCGGTGCGTGGTGGGGCCTTTTTCATAAACAGTCTGAAACAAAAAAGTAAAGAAGAATGGGAGTAATGTATTTGAAATAATTGTTTTTGTAAATAGAAGGCCATAGCTCTTTGACAACAATTTTGTTGTGGCTCTTATAAGACATGGATAAACCCACTGCTGGTAAGAAAGGTAGATTTCAATTTTAAGTGGGAAGCTTCTACTACGACTATGTACATTTGAAGTTTTACCATTATTTCACCTCTACATGTACATACAGGTATGTTTGTGAACCTAAAGTTGCAGTGTCACATGCCTATACATAATCATTTCCAAGAGTACATATTTTCACTTAAGTGCATTATAACTTTCCAGCCAATCCGACTCCTTTTTCTCACATCCTTTTTTCTTACTTTAAGAATAGTTGCACTAAAATTAATAGAGCTATTCAGGGTGCAGGCAGACATTGCCTTTTTACGGTGGCACAAGTTGTGAGCAAACAGACGTGCCTGCCCCTTGTGCTCCATTTGCTCAAATATGTTTGCGTGGCCAAACAGTTTTGATGCCTTAAGGGGAAGGACATCTGTTTGCTTATTTGCTTATTGTACACCCTGGAAATTCCTCTTCAGGGGATTGCTAGGGCATGCATTTCATGCTGCTATGCCCTGACCCAACAGGGGATTCCCAGGGTGTGAGTTTCATTACTTTGTCACTGATTTTAGTCAACATAGGATCAAGATCTTGGTCCTTAACTAGAATAAGTTATACTGTTATAAAATAAGTTATACTAAAGAAATACTGTCCAAAATGTCACCATAGTAGTATGAGAGTGCTGGTGACAGGTGGTGGGAGAGAAGCTGATGGAAAAAGAATTTAGGATCTCACAGAGAATTGGAAAACTCCTTTTGTTTTATGGGCATCTCATTCACATATTTATAATCAGAGATCCTGGTTTTCTCTGATTTAAAAAAATCCCCAATTTTCAGTTAAAAAAGTAACCTGAAACTCCCATTTTTCTGTGATTTAAATGAAACACCACTAATATATGTGTGTGTGTATATATTAGGCTGGTGCGAGTCAGCAGTGATCCGATCCGGCTTTGGATCTGGCTGCTTCAGATGGCCGCGATCTGATCCGGAGCTCCGGACTGGGTTTCCGCCTCGATTCGGCCGAAGCGGCTCCAAAGCTTCGGAGCCGCCTCAGAGATCCAGCGATAGGGTATAGTGGGGAATCAATGAAATATCTATAACTTTGTTGTTTTTTGCCCAATTTGGATGAAACATGCAGGAATGGTAGCCTCTGCTGAAAGTATGAAACCTGCCAAGTTTCAAGAAGATCAGTGCAGGGCTTTGGGGGGAATTGGCACCCCAAATTCTTGAAAGCTGAACTCATGTCACGGCTGTGTGTTACACTACAGGGGGGTCAAAACTACTGGGATGGTAGCTCTTGCTGAGGCCACAAAGCCTGCCAAGTTTCAAGGAGATCGGTGCAGGGGTTTGGGGGGAACTGCGCCTCAAGCTGCAGACAAGCAAAACTCGTGACATGGGTGACACTGTGTGTGTTAAGGTCCAGCAGGGTGACAGCTGCAGGGATGGTGGCCCCTGCTGTGGCCATGATGCCTGCCAGCTGTCGAGGAGATCGGTGCAGGGGGAGTTTGGGGCCCTGCACCCCTAGCTGCTGACAGGCAAAACTCCTGCCAAGACTGTGTCTGTCTTGGGGCAGTTTATTGTCTGTATTAATTCTTTCCTCTCCTTAGCCTGGTTTTGTAGGTGCTGATTGATGCCCGTTAAGTCGTTATGTAGTAGCTAGGGGCTGTGTATTGACCTGGTCCCCGAGTCCCTGGTCCCTGAGTGAATCATGATTGATTGGTAACTGGTAACACAGCAGCTCAGCAGCCAGGCCTGCAGCAGT